TTTATACAAGACTAGAATAAATTATTTTTCATTTACGCACTTGACACTTTCACGTGCGTAAAATGAAAAATAATTTATTCTAGTCTTGTATAAAAAATTTGGCAAAAAAAAACTGTGATGTAAAAGGAAAAAAGGAAAAAAGGAAAAAAATTGTCAAATGAATTATTAAATATTATTATTATTATTATTATTATTATGATTGTATATGTTATATTATAAATTAAGTAAAAATAATAATAGATGGTATCGATGGATTATTATAATTATTTTTAAACAAATTGTTTAATTATTCAAATGAAATTATTATTATTATTTATTTATTTATTTATTTTATTTATTTTGTTTTTTATTTTATTTTTTATTTATTTATTTTTTGTTTTATTTTTTATTTATTTATTATAAATTTTATAATTTTCAGACCCTTCTGAACTCCACACAGTGTGTATGTTTAGGTGGTGGGTTTTTACATATTTCGTATCAATCGCATCTTTCTGTCAACATATTCATATTTATAATTAATTATTTAAACAAACAAACAAACAAACAAACAAACAAGATAAGTGATGGAATAATTTTTTTTTTTTTTTTTTAAACTCTAATTAATAAAAGGAAAAGGAAAATTTTTTTTCCGTTACAAAAAAAAAAAAAAAAAAAAAAAAAAAAATTAACCGACGGAAAATTTCATTCAATCGATCGATTTTTAATAATAATAATAATAATAATAATAATAATAATAATAATAAATTATTTTGCAGTGATTTAAATTTTTTTTTTTTTTTTTTTTTATTGTTACTCACGTTTTAATTGTAATTTTTTTAAAAATTAATTTTAATTTATTTAAATATTTTGTTTATAAAATTTATCGATCGAATGAATGAAATTTCAAGTACACACAACAAAAAAAATGCATTAATTTTATATCATATCGTATTTTTTATTATTATTATTATTTTATTAATTTATTATTATTATTATTATTATTATTATTATTTTAACTCTCAATGACTGACTCTGCATAACTTTAAAATTATTTAAAATTTAAAAAAAAAAAATTTGTTTTCTTTGCATCTCTGTTTGCCTAGTAGTTCTCTCTCATCTATACTTGCTAGTTTACTACTTACATTACAATATTTTCTTTATGCTACGGTGTTGGACACTATCATTATTATTATTATTATTATTATTATTATTATCATTATTATTCATAATAGTATAAATAGTTAAAAAAAAAAAAAAACTAAAGATAAAGCTAAATGAAAAAAATTTAAATAAATAAATATAACTTTTTCCACATTAATTTTCTTTGGAATGAAATAAATTATAAAGCTTTCATGTTATCATTATTATCATTACACTTGTTATTATTATTATTTTAACATTTTTTCCAGATTAAAAAATAATATTTATATATACATATATACATAGATTATTAACTTTTAAAAAAAAAAAAATTAATTTTTTTTTTTTGTAAGTCATTGGGAGTTTGCATTTTTTTTTTTTTTTTTTTTTTTTTTACAACCCCCTCCCCCCCCCCCCACATTTATTATTTACTTTTTACACTTTTCTGTTTCATTTTGTCATTTTTTTTATTAAAAAAATTTCACGATGAAAAAATCAATTATTATTATTATTATTATTATTATTATTGTTTTTTTTTCCAGAAATATTTTCAATGTCGAGTCATTGGAGAATAGCCGTGAAAAGATCGACAAACGGACGAGGAGGAGGAGGTGGAGTGGGAGGAGTCGGAGGAGGAGGAGGAGGAGGAGGAGGGGGTGTAGAAAAAGAATATAAAGACGACGGGAGGACGACATCGTTTGATATAAAACCCGAAATGTTTGATAATACGCAAGAGAGAAGGAATGAAATATTTCGTAGGCAGCAAGTTATAAGGAATCAACGTTTGGAATCGGAATTCGGTATCAAACCGGGAGGATTTAAATGTACAAATTGTGGGAAAATGTACAATCAACAAGCGAGTTTGTGGCGTCATTCGAAATACGAATGCGGTAAAGGACCGCAATTTCAGTGTCCCTATTGCGCTCTTAAAGTAACGCAAAAATGTTACATGAGAAAACACATATTGCGTCGTCACGCGGATAAAGTATTTAATTACATGACTTGTTGATGAGAAGGAGAGTATATGTAAAAGAGGGATAAGAGGAAAAGAGAGGGACGATTTTGACATGCACGCGCACGCACACACACCCACATTGTATCGTTTTATTCTATTTATTGTTCGTATTATTATTATTATTTGCCTTTTAATTTTTGTAAACATATTTTTATTATTCAGGGTCCAAAATACTAAGACATCACATATCAATCATCACATGTTTTCATTATATTATTTGACATACGAAATACCGTGCTGTGGTCCTAATATTAATAATAATAATAATAATAATCAATGCAGCTAATATTAGCCAATAATTGTACGGGATTATTATTATTATTATTATTTTTTTTTTCTTTTTTCATAGCATAAATAAAGCTACTATTTTTACAAAGTTGTTTTACCTTATTTAACTTAGACTGAACGCACAAGACTTTATAAGATTTTTAATTTTTTTTTTTTTTTTTTGGTAGTTAATCGATAGTAGTTGCCACCACCCCTCCCCCCCCATTTTTATTTTTATTAAAATGGGAAATTAATAAATAAATAATTTTTTTTTTTTTTTCGAGCTCAGGTTTCATTTATTATATTGATGTTTGCATTATTGATTTATTACATTATTTAATTTAGTTTTTTTTTTTTTTTTTATTTATTTTTTAAGTTGAAATAATAATGATTATGATAATAATAATAATAACAATAACAATAACAATAAAGGAAAACAATGATCGCAAAAGGATTTATTATATTGTTTTCATCATTATTATAATGCAGCATTGTATTGTTTATTATTATTATTATTGTTATTATTTAAATTGCAATTGAATGTGTACTTAGCAAATAGGTATTAATTATTATTATTATTATTATTATCGTTTTAACGTAAAGTACAATAATTTTTTTGTTTTTTTTTTTATTAATGAATAATTATTATTTTTTTTTGTTTATTTATTATTATTATTATTATTTAAATGTATTTAAAATATTTGAATAGAATATAAGCCAAATAATTATTTATTTAGATTAAAATAAAAAATAGAAAAGGAAAGGAAAAAGAAAATAAAAAGAAAAATTATTTAATTTTTGTAAGTAGATATATATATATATTACAAAGTTAGATGGTAATGATAATGATAATAATAATATAATTTTTTTTGTTTGTTATTAAAATGTTACTATCATAATTTATTAATTTTTTATTATTTTGTATTCTTTAAGGTAATTAATTAATGGCATAAATTACGATGACAAATAGAAATTTTTTAATTTTATTTTAAATTTTGTTTAGGAAATCGGGGGAGGGGGGGGTTAAAAAATTTTTTTTTTTTTTTTTGTTTTCTTTTTAGGATTTTAGAATTTTTTTAATTTTTAGTTGTGAGAAAATTTTTTTTTTAACGTACCTACGAGCTTATTCTATCGTGATTTATACAATTTTTTACCGATTGTTTTTCCTTTTTTCTTTTTTTTTCTATTTACTATTTTTTTTTTATTTACAAATAGTTTTTTTTTTGACGCTTTTCGAATGCTTTTCATTAATATTATTATTATTATTAATAATTTTTTTTTTTTTTTTCATTATTAGTTACGGTTGGTAGTTATTCATCACATTTATATATATATATACACATATTTAATTTATATTGATTTGTTTATCGATAAAGTATTATTATTATTATTGTTACTATGTAACTGAGAGAATTGTTGTGGAAAAAAGCAAAAAAAAAAAAAAAAAATTTATAATTTAAATTTTTTTTTTTTTTTTGCTTAAAATGTTTTTTATTAAAAGACACAAGTATTACTTATTATTATTATTATTATTATTGATGATTGATTGACAGAATTTAACGGGGGGGGGGGTCATTTTTTGTTGTTTTAATGTCAAGTTGATTATAGTACAAATAGAAGAGAAGGGAAGGGGAAAAAAAAATTAATTACAATTTTTTGTAATTATATATATATATATATATATAGTTACATATATTTATAAACTGAAACTTCACAAAATTATTATTAATACATTATGTAAAAAAATATTAATAATAATAATAATAGTAATAATTTTTTTAAAAGAGTTGTTATGCTCTCTTTTTTTTATATACAATTTTTTTTTTCTTGTTTGTTAAATACATCAGGGTAACATAAAACTTTTTTTTATATATATTAAACAAAAAAAAGTTGTGATAGTAACATCATAAATTTTAATATAAAATTCATTTATAATGAAAAAAAATATATAATAATATAATTATAATAATTATTTTTTTATCTTTAAGATAGAAAAAAATATTTTTAATTTTATACAAATGCTGTTTGATTGAATTATTCAAAAAAAAAAAAAAAAATTAATTTATTTTATATTGTTTTGTAATAATATAAATTATTTTTAGTAAAAAAAAAAAAAAAAAAAAAAAAAAAAATTTAGTAGTAATACTATTAATAATAATAATTGAAAAATGTAAGAGGTAATTTTTTTTTTTTTTTTTTTACTAGGAAAGACAGAGAGAAAGAGAGAGAGTAAATGAGAAAGAAAGAAAGAGATGGGAGATGGGAAAAGGGCCGGAGAGAGGCGGGGGAAAGAAAGAGAGAGAGAGAGAGAGAGAGAGAGACAGAGATGTAATTAGTTATGTATTTTTTTTTTTTAATACACTGTTAATTATTTTATAAGACAATATTCGATATGACGGTTATTTAATATAATTTAATAATTTGTAATTTATAAAAAATATTTTTCAATTTTTTTTTCTTTTTTTTAATTATTATTATTATTTAAAAGAAAAAAAGAAAAAAAAAAACTCATTTATTTATTTAATTAAAATAATCATTAATTATATATATATATATACTTATATTTTAATAACATTTTTTTGTTTTTGTTTGTTAATTGGGGGCGGGGCGAGGCGGAGCTAATACCTCCTCTCCCCTCCCCCTTTTTTAATTGATTATTGGATGGGTATATTATTCTTGATAAAATTTTTATTTTTATTTATTTATATATATTATTTATTTTTCATCTGTTGTATAATCTTTCTTGCTTCTTTTTACAGTATAAAAAAAAAAAAAAAAAAATTTTTTTTATTACTTCCAGAAAAAAAAAAAAAAATTACAAAATTTCTACTGGTGTTGGGGTATACGGCATGCTTCATAATACTTTGTAAGCACAAAATTTAAGGTATTTTTTTTTTTTTTGTTTATATATATACCTTCTTTAGGTTACGAAATGATGTATCAAAAGGTATAATTTATATTTTTATTTTAGTGTCGATTCTAATTTTTATGAGGGGAGGGTGGGTGGAGAGTGGGAGGGAAAAATAATAAATAATTTTCTTAGATTTTCTTTTAAATAATTAATTTTAATTTTTTTTTTTTTTTTTTATTGCAGTTTTCATATAATTAATTAAAATGATGGCTTTGTGTGAGTTAACATTGGTTTTTTTTTGTATATTTTTTTGGGTTTTTCTTTTTTTCTTTTTTTTTTTTTGGGATATTAAAAATATATACAAACCCAAAGTCGTTATTTTAATTACAATTTATTTTAAAACATAATATTTTTTAGGTTTAAATAATTTGTATTTGTTTAATGTATTTAATTATGACAAAAGGTTATTTATTTATTTATTTATTTTAAATGTCATTTTGGGAAATATGCTAAAAACTAACAACAAAAGAAAAAAACAGTTTTAAAGAAAAATGATTCTTTTTTTTTTTTTTTTTTGTTTTTAATTCGTTGATTTATTTTTCTAATATTTATTATTATTTTTTTATTTTTTAGCTGGTTACGGTAGTGGTGGTGGTGGCGGCGGCGGCGGCGGTAACGACTTGATGAAATTTAATAAGACTCAAAAAATGTTCAATCCGGCTTCTCACATGCCAGAAGAATTCAATCGATCCAAAGATGCTGAGATAAAAAAAGCACTCAATACAAATTTGAATTTATTAAACGAAAACGAATTTAATTTATTATATAATAAATTAAAAGCGGAAGCGAATAATTTATCCTTGGACGGAAGGAATGGAAACGTTAAATTTGGTTCACTTCTCAAAGGTGGAGAAAGTGATTTTTTCAAAGGGAAAACTCATCAAAAGAACATCAATAAAAGTGGTAATAATAATTTGTCGCGGAAAAATTGGAGATTTTCCTATCACGGTCAAGACGTGTCGCTGGGACCCAATTACGGTCACGTTGAATTTGAAAATTCCGTCGATATAACTGCTGGAAAATTGTACAGTTGTTTGACGTGCAAGAAAAAATACAGATGGAAAAGCACTCTGAGAAGACACGAAATGGTCGAATGCGGTGGGAAAGAACCTTCTTTTCAATGTCCACAATGTCCGTACAGAGCTAAACAAAGAGGAAATTTAGGGGTTCACATGCGAAAATATCATTCCAATGTTTAAAATTATTATTATTATTATCATAATCATTGTAACTATTACGTTGGGTACGCGTTTTTCCGAATTATTTTATGTAAGCAAGATAATCAGAGCGACAACATTAAAAAAAAAAAAAAAAATTGATTCGAATCAATAATATTAGATTTTTTGTACAGGGAATTGTTGTCATTCTAATTATTATTATTATTATTATTATTATTATTAATTTTTTTTTTTTTTTGCGAGTGAGATTACTGACTGTAATTATTACAAATTTATTATTATTATTATTATTAATTTTAAGAAATATCACAAGGCTGTTAGATCTAAACTTCATATCATTAAAAGAAAGAGAGAAAAAAAATTAAATGAATCAAATGGGGTTTTTTTTTTTGCACTGTAAATATTAATAATAATAATAATAATAATGATACTAATGGATATAAACGTTTGTAATTGAGGTTTTTTTTTTTTTATAATTACGATACGAACGTAAAAATTATTATTATTATTATTATTATCAAGAGACTTTATTGATATTGATATTGTTTTTTTTTTTTTTTTGATTTTTGAGTTATAACTATTATTATTATTAATAATAATCGATGAAGGAAAAAAAAAAATTGTTTAGGTATAAGATA